TCTACGGAGCTATGGACACTGCTACCACTCCCTGGCAGCAATGTGTGACAGTCGGGAAGGCTCACCTGAGCCTTAGTGTCCAGAGTGTTTAAAGGGGCTCCATCACCTGGAACAGGCTGGCCACACAGTCCTCAGCCTCTCTGGAGATTGAGCTATTATCACACAGTCCAAGGCCCCCACCTTATCTGCTCCCAGGTCTCCAGGCAAGCAGAGACACTCCTATCAGACGTCACATTCCCACAGTCCGGTGGCTCAGAGATCACCTGCCTGGAGCCCGAGACAAAGGCTAAACCTCTCTTTGTGTAAGATTAACTCTTTACTACAGAGGGTTGCACTGCAGGAGAGAGGTACGTCTTGTCCTTTTCCTAACTTTCTCCCTGAATTTTGGGGGGCCATTTAACCTCGAGGCAGTGGCCCCTTGTGGATGGACTGTCGGGGCTACCTAGGTGGTTTCAATGTGTTGATTTTCAAAGCAACTAAAAAGCCTTTTGAGAGTGACAAAAATAAACTACAGTTCATTCATGGCGTTAGAAGACACAGGTAATTAAACACTATCAAGCACTTGTTTCTAGATATTTCCAACGTTTATGTAAGGATTACCCTCTTACTACCAAAAAAAAAAAAAAAAAACAAAAAAAAAACAACAAAAACCAAGTCATTTTCCTACTAGATTTAAAAATACAAATGTGTCTGGGGCGCTTGGGTGGGTGGCGCAGTCGGTTAAGCGTCCGACTTCAGCCCGGTCACGATCTCGCGGTCCAGGAGTTCGAGCCCCGCGTCAGGCTCTGGGCTGACGGCTCAGAGCCTGGAGCCTGTTTCCGATTCTGTGTCTCCCTCTCTCTCTGCCCCTCCCCCATTCATGCTCTGTCTCTCTCTGTCCCAAAAAATAAATAAACGTTGAAAAAAAAAATTAAAAAAAAAATACAAATGTGTCTTAACATTTGAGAGCCTGGTGACATACACGTGACCCTAAAAAACACTTAGCATAAGTGAATAGAAATGTACGGTTCCTTTGTCCCACACAGCATAGCACACTTACCAGCAAATACTTCAAAAGTCTGCCGTTAGCCAGCTGTGTGATCTTGGGCCTGTCATTTTAACCCCCTGGTTCGACTTCGTTTTCTGTAAAACAAAAGTATCGGATCAGATTATTTCTAAATTTCCTCTGGTTCTCCCTTTTCTCCTTCAGAATAAAGTAACCTTTTGTAAATACAAGTAAGGACCCTTCAAGGCTGAGCTTGCTACATAAATAAGAATCCACCTTGTTTCCAATATTTAACTTTTATAACCCAAAGGAAGAAATACACAACCTTCAGGTTAAATATATAAAATAACTGAATATTTTTCAAAACATACCATTCGTTCCTTAGCAAATCGTATGCGGCACCTACCACGTACTAACCAGGTATAAATATTTGAAATATTTATCCGTATCTTGTGAGCGATCCTGAGCAGATGTTGGTTAAATGGAGATTTTAGTAAGAGCCTGTTAAGCACCAAACATGACAGGAAAGAGAACACGCAGCTTTTCGCTTAAAGTTATATGCCTTCAGAACTCAATGACTTTCTAAACCGATTTTATAATTAGGAGGATATTTTTAGCTTCTTTTTCAATTGGAAGGTTTTATTATGCTCATCTTAACGTATGTAATTTCACTTGAGTATTTTCTGATTTTGAAAAAAATGAATCTTTTCGCCTTGGTGAAGCAAAGTATGATGGGAGCAGCTTCCACAGAGTGCTACATCTTTAAGGGCCGGTGAAGCCATCCTGACTGCAGGTCCCAGTGATGCCCATACAGTGTTCTTCCTTGGGCCCTGATGGAAGATGAGTAGGACACCAGGGTGCTCGCCCTGCAGGAGGCAGGAACCCACCCATGGCTTAGTGTAAGGATGGCCCTATTCACAGAGAATTCTAGTGCCAGGCAATGCTGCTGCAGGGGAAAGGGCCTGGTGGGGAAGCCCCAGTGTGCCTCCACCTGCAAGAGTGAGGACTTTACTAGGGGAACAGAGTTCCAGCAGAGGGAACAGCACTTGCAAAGCTCAGAGCCCGGACGAGCGTGTGGGGAAGCCAAAGCCTCAGAGTTGCCGGCAAGGGCAGGGGCCCCGAGGAAGCAGGCAAGGAGAAGGAGGCTGGTGACGAGCCTGCTACAGCGCCAGGAAGCTGGTGGCCCTGGGACTCCAACACAGGTGTTTAAGCAGAGAGAAGGGACCAAAGCAGACCCATAATTTAGAAAAGGGCCAGAGACAGGGATGGACTGGGGAGAGGTCCAAATGCAGGGGGTGCGGGGTGTGTCCTGCCTTGAAGCACTTCAGGGATCCAGGGGGCTCAGTGAGGCACTGACACCTGGAGTGACACGAAGAAGGCTGAGGCCAGCTCTCACCTTGGGCCTGGTGCCCTGGTTGGCTGCTGGGGGCGGTGGGGACATGTGAGGGCACTGGTGGAAGGATTAAGAGGCATCCCGGTGCAAAGGGCCAGAGAGCAGACGAAAATGTGGAGTTGAAGAGAGGACGTGTGGAATGAGTCAAGGAAGGAAGGGGTTTGGCTCGGAAAAAGAGGAGAGCAGATGGTTGTCATGCAAATAATCTGAGGCCTTAAGAGCAAGACTTTAGACCCTAGAGGGGACGGACAGTGAGGTAGCGGCTTTAGGAACTGGATTTCAGACAACCTAAGCACCCTTCCCCAGAGTCAGAACGGGGGAGGACGGACCAGGCAAGGTCCATGGGGTCCCCCGATACTGTCTGGGGAGGGGAGTTCTCTCCCAGGCCACAAGCCTCCCCTCAAGCTACTTTCTTTCCTCCCCACCCAATCCCTGCCCCTCTGCCTTTACCACCACCACCACTGCCACTGTGTTCCAGATGGCTGGCTAAGGAACCCATCAGGGCCAACCTACTAACCAGTAGCTAAACCGCTCCCACCAGGAGTATTTGCATCCCCAAAGGAGGAATTGGTTCATTTAAACAAATGCCCGGTGGGTGGAACATGCAGGGCAACGCTCAGAGGAAGACTTTTTTCCTCTTTGCGCTCCAGTCCCCAGGCCCCAGGCCTCGTCAGGAACGGGCCCCGGCCTGCAGAAGCAGGCGCTGTCACCGGGGCCCATCAAGGGAGCGGGCAGGCTGGCCTCAGAAAGGGACACAGGACTAGGCCGGTCGTCTTGCTGTATGAAAATGCCCCTAGATTTCCACGTCACTCCGGATCACTGACATTCCACTAGACTGCCGTTACCCCTTTTGTTTGCTTTGTGCATCCAGAAGCGGACTGAACTAACCACGAACGTGCAGATTCCAGAGACAATGTGACCAGGCGGGGAAACCGGGTGCAAGTTTGGGGGCACTTTGTTTCTCCCTTCTCGCCCCTCCATACCCAGCCCCGGCCACCAGGGCCTCGGGGCCTCAGGCCTCTCCGGGAGAGGCCTCCGGTTGGCCCCGTCTGCATAGTCTGTGTCAGGAGCCGGGGTGCAAGGTGTCTCCAGAACCCCAGGCTCCACCTCGGACTCCCTCGGACAGGGGCACCTCCAGCGAGGACGCACTCCACCGAGGCTGGGTCCCCGGGCGGATGCCTGTCGGGGGCGGCGGGGCTGCAGGGGCTGCGCGGCGTGGGCAGGGCGGAGGTTCGAGGGGGG